TAAGAAAAGAAAATCTGTGGTGGATGAAGTAGCAGCTGAGAAAATATGCTACAAACCGGAATATTTATGGAAGTGAACAGGTTATTACATTATTTTTTATTTCCAGTCATTTAGCTTTTATAGAAATTTATTTTGCGATATCAGTAGAAAATACAAATTACACTGCGAAAATGTTTGATGTGTGATTAATAACTTTTCTGTGATGTGGCTTAATTGCGCTCAACGTGGGCACGGCGTCGATTTCCTGTAATGCTCATCAAAGTGCCTGAATACACAAAAAACTGGAAAAATCATAATTTATAACCTGCCTTCAGACAGGACAACATATAAATAAGCCGTCGGGCACAGCTAATAGATTGGCAGCATATTCAGTAATAATTTTCTAACATAGACCAATACACATAATAATCCCGATGCAATCTTGCTTTTCAACCAACAACCAACTTTCTTTATTTCACATCTTCTCATCTGGAAGATACATACTACTCTACAAATTATCTCTCCAGTTTGCAAGATGAGAGTTTATCGGTCTTTCTTGACGTTTTCTATGTTTTTTACGTACACCCTTGAGGGCCTTGGTGTCCCGATCAGGTGCAAATCGGGACGCGTCCCCAGACCTATGAACGTCGGTATCTGGGATGCAGAACGCAGGTTCGATACTTGTTTTTTATTCTCAGGCATGACGGGAGTGAGTAAATCATCCCCAGTGAGCGTCCCCATAGCTCGACGTTCATAAAATGGCTGCCGCTTAAGCTCGGGCGTAATTCGGTAATACTTCCGTCGATAAAGCAGGTGTTATATATTTCGTATAATGCAACCATAAATTTCAGAGTGGAAGCGGAAAACAACGGACGGGATGCTGCTTAGCATTGAAGTATGGAAGTAGGGGACTACTCATAAAAATGAGTTAAGGTTAGTACAAGGGGATGTCGACACCACTGAAAGATGGCTCGGATATACCTACTTGCTTTTTCTCGGCGGAATGCTTCATGCCAAGGCGATCTTAGAAGGTTCCATTATACCGGGTGTCTCAAATTCGACCATTGAGAAACGGTAACGGATACGAAGCCGACTAAATGGGGGCAAAGTTGCACTTTTACGTATTTATAAATTAGCTCGTAAAAGAAAACTATCTATACGACTACTATTTTGATGAGCTTTTAGTGTGTTGCTTTAGAGATGGCAATACTGGAGTTTAAAGCTGTAAGTTGTATGTGTTGATAATAATTACATTGGGTTCTTGCCTCAAATACGTTTAATTAAGATTCAAAGCTAGAAATTAGTTGTGCAGCCACTTTTTCTTATCCATTCTAGAAATTACATATGCAAATTTGATGAATTTCAAAAATGAGAGATAAGAAATAATAATATTCACTGTACACTGTCGAATTACAAGTCATATACATGCTAACAGTAATTACACACAACGCGGGCGCGGTGATAATTTCCCGTAATTCTCCTCAGTTTTCAGTAATTTATAACTTTGAACATAACTTATCTTCAGAAAGCACATAAACACATAAAAATAGCCCGTCAGGCACAGCGAATAGGTAAACTTCATTGGCAGCAAATTCAGTAATGATTTTCTCACACAGCAAATATCTCTGATTTTATACACATGCAGACCCATCCTCATAATCATTCAGATGCGATCTTGCTAATCGACCAACTTTCTTCTCAGAGATAAAAACTATAGACATGGACCACTCGGCCTCACAGAAAATATGCAACCAATAATGCGTGTATTTTAGTTGAGTGATTCCTCCATAGATGGACGTTCACAACGATCCTAATGAGCAAACGTGGAATGGCTGTTTGCACCCTAAAAACAACCTAGTTTGCAAGATGAAATCCTATAGGTTTTTTTGACCTTTTTATAGGTTTTTTACATGATATTGTGCCGATTTTTTATATCGGCAGAAAACGTGTTTAACGGGTGATATGAATCCCCAAAATTTAGACCCAAACAGAGTAGTTTTGAAGCTTCACAAACTTGCAGTTGTGATAAACATTTGAGATGGAATGGGGAAGGTTCGTCATAAACGAAAAATACATTTCGGGTTATAATATAGCGATAAAGCATATTTACGTTGCAGTTGAACATCAAAAAGTACCTATCTATAACAAAGGATCTATCGGTCCCATTTTATGATTTCAATTGAAGAAACAATCTAAAACAATGTTTTCCAAAGATACGTAGTTTTAAGCGGGTAATACATACCTACATTTATTCCTCTTTTCTGGTTCATGCTGCCGCATTTTTTCCTGTAATTATTTAACAATTCAGTGGATACGCCAGTAACCAATCAGTATTCGGAAGGAAAACCGAATTTCAAAATGCCTAAAAAGGAATAAATATGACTCTGCGTTACTGAAAACAAATATCTATCAAAGCATGCAATTTCAGAATAGCTTAAACCTGAAATCATTTTTTCGGATTTTGAGAGTGATGTGTATACTTTGTCTGCTTTGAACAGTTTTGATTCTACATGTGGTCCAGGCCAACCACTTGCTTCTTTCTAGACCAGAAAAGAGGTGTAAGTAGCTTACCATTAGCTGATAGTTGTGAACGAAGCAGCACAGTGTAATGCAGAAAACGGTACGAAATCCAAGAATTGTAACACTCAAATTTGAGTCATTTTCAGTTAGAATGGCACTCTGGTAGAGCATCAGCAGCCGGAGGTGTCAAGCAAGGAGAATGCGTTGTGCAGTTTCGTTCACATAGTTCTACAATAAAACCAAATATATCAGCTAATCATGGGCCATTTTCCTAACATTATTCCAAGATCAAAAAGGTTGAAGGAGGCTTGTTGTCTGCCAAAGCTGTCTGTAAGGTCTTCGCCTTCGTATCAAAGCCTGTCGATCAGATTATCATTCACTCAGAAAGCAGACAGAGCTAAAGAAATTAAACCTTATATGCCACTTCTGATGATGAAACATTTAAAGGGTCATTCGCTCTGAATACGGTTAAACGATAATTTAGTCGGTGTAGGGATAATGACAAGCGTTTCTCGAGGAATACGTTTGAATGAATAAGTAAATGAAAATCTTCTGAAAGTGATGGGGAGTGTCCGAAACGGCAAAAGGCAGAGCTTGAGCGTCAGTTCTTAAGTTACTTTTAAACAACACTGCAAATTATGTTCTCAATAAGCAATAATTTTCATAGAAATTAAAATATATCTTTCTTAAAACACTATACGCTATACATAATGAACATAAAGATAAATAAACTAGCCGTTATGTTTGGAAATACATTGAACATAATCTAATCGATGACAGAATTGCATGGGAAGTAAAAAGCCAACCTACTTGGCCCCGTTTTTTTATCGTTGGCTGTCTGACAAATAGCTCCAGTTGTAGCAGCCCTGTTGTTGTGCGATGCGTTATTTCCACCTTCACATTCGGAGAACGCCAGTCCCTGTTGTTATGCAAATTCACTCGGTTTTATCTTGTTTATGAGATTCGAAATCCAAAGCCAGCGTGATTAATTCACTATGCGCCGTATTACAATAGAAAAACACTATGGCGTAAATGAAAATACTGTATAATGCCTTCGCAGAGGATTGACGTGGACATAATGAAGGTAAACGGGCGTGTTTTATAGCTTGTTTCGTTGTACAGGGTTTTTTGTTATACGCCTCGCTTATTTCTTTCCAAGAGGCAACCATGAGCATTCAACGATTACATGAAGTCAGATGTATAAAAATTACACCCTATAGGCCGATAAGATTAGAAATTTTTAACCCAAGAAGAGGACGTGCAACGCAAACAGGCTATTCGGTCATTTTTACTTCCCGTGCCTACTGGCACTGGCACCCTAGTTGTTACAAATTAGAGAAAACGCGGTTGAAAAAATAAGGCTTGAATGTGTGCTCTTTTCTTATTTTTCTGGTTGTTACGTTAGAAACATGTTGATGTTGATGGTACTGGCACTCATAGCTAATCATAGTGAGTAGGTGGCACCTAAGCACGACCTGTTTTTCCCGATTGCAGAGTTTACGACGGCTATGTTAACGAAGCAAAAATAACGATCACAATGATAATTATCAGGTTCCTGTCAAATCATGAGTGTCTTGATCTCAAAATGTATCGCATCCTATGGACCATTCTCATAAAGAAGTACCTAACACAATTTTAGCATACAGTATTTGGCACTAGGTATTTGGACCTCTGAGTCACTCCAAAGTAGTCTTTTAAGTTTTGCATATAGAAATATAGTAGCCCGCGCGGATCGAACGTCAGTACTAAATATTAACCTCACTCTTTAGTAAACTTAAATTCAAAGTTTCACAACAATAGGTACAGTGTTCGCACTACAGTGAATTTTTAAGTATCACCAAGTCATTAGAGAAATGGAACTCAACCGAGAACATTTTCGCGCCATAATTTATTACAACTTTCAGAGACAAATTATCGCAACAAGAATGCCTTACTGAGTTACTGTCTGTTTTCGGCAACGAAGCGCCACATCAGTCGACAATTCCCCGTTGGTATAAAGAATTTATACGTGGACGGGTGAGTCTTTACGACGATCCCAGGGTGGGTGCACCAAAAACGGCAGTCACCCAGGAAAACGTCGATTCTGTGCGCAAACTCATCATTGAAGATAGACATGTGACATATCACGAGATTGAGGCGTCCTTGAAGATCTCAAAGATCACAATTCAAAACATTTTACATGAAGAACTAGGAGTAAGAAAATTAGTTTCTCGTTGGATACCCCACCTGTTGACTGAAGAGCAGAAAGCAGCCAGGGTTAATTGGTGTCAAAAAAACGCTTGAACGCTTCAATTTCGGAAACTCAAAAAATGTGTACAGCACTGTTAGTGGTGATGAATCGTGGATTTACTGCTGTGACCCAGAAAATAAACGACAGTCGGCTGTTTGGGTGTTCCAAGGTGAAGAAAAGCCAACAAAAGTCATCCGTTCTCGAAGTGTTTCGAAAAAGATGGTCGCGACATTTGCGTCAAAAGCGAGTCATATGGCAACAATTCCTCTTAATGAGCAAAGAACTGTTACTACGGATTGTTATACCACCATTTGTTTGCCAAAAGTCATCAATCGACCCAGAAAGAGGAATCATCCTCCACCAAGACAATGCAAGCTCGCACACAGCCCAAAAAACAAGGCAGTATTTAACGGAAGAAAACGTGGAATTATTGGACCATCCTCCATATAGTCCCGATCTAAGTCCTAACGATTTCTTTACTTTCCCGAAAATTAAAAACAGACTGCGTGGTCAAAGGTTCCAGTCACCAGAAGAAGCAGTTGACGCATTCAAAAATGCCGTTTTGGATCTGCCAGCAAACTAATGGAATAAGTGTATCAATTTTCGTGGAGAATACTTCGAAAAACAATAAAGTTATTTAAAACTATCTATCGTGTTGTTTTATTTCCATATGCAAAACCTAAAGGACATCCCTCGTATTTAGTCCTCCAATTCCCAGGGTCCCTATAGGAGGCCAATTTTTAATATTTTATCGAAAATACCGCCTTAAGTTTACATCGACCTTTCTCATCACTGAGATGAAAGAAAACTTCGATTTCCAGAAAAATAATGATATAACATTCTTAGACTGGCAGAAACATAAGTAACGTGGTTCGAAGTTGTCGTCTTGACCAAATTTCGTGCCCTTTTGAGACTGGCTTCTGTTTTTACTTACCATGGAAACAAAATATAGGATTAATCTGAACCATAATACAGGTGGTTTTTCAAATGTATTTTTATTCAAATACTCAAATTTGCTTATGCTGTAGCGGGTAATCATACTCATTTTTCAAGTTAGATGTCTCAGGTCCCCTCTAGGGGATGAGGTAGTTTTTAATGGAACATGACTGAGTTTCAGAGATTTTTTTCTGTAAGTAAATAAGCACTAAATCCAAAATAAAGTTAGAAATAAAATAACTGCTTTACGTTTTGTAATAAATTTTATTATAAACTTATTAGCAAAAATCTAAAACGAAGTGCAACAAGTTTTATTTTTCGAATACACAATGAAATTTGTTATATAAATAAAGTTCATAATTTATATAAAATTGTATTTGCGTCCTTAATTCATCGCATGTCCAAGATCCTCTATATTGGACAACATTTTATTTCATTTATATGTGGTGGAAATTAAAAATTCATGATGTTTCATCTAATTAGCCTCGATTGAACCCATAATAACAAAAAAATAAATGAAACTGTTTTTGACATTCTAGATAAAAGCCAGTTGACGTTTATTGTGTTTTAAAGTCAGTGATCGGTTTGGGACGCTTTGTTATATTCACAACATATAACCATTTACTCCTCGTAGACGTGGTTAAAATAGTGAGAAAACTAATATGTTGGTCAAAAGTGGCTTAACAAGTATCGTCAACCTAAATGCGGCTAAACAGAAAATTCTAACAAACAGCTACTAGACAAATACTTGTGTGATTAGCCGTTAGTTTAAGAGCCTTTGGAGATTCAAATATATCTTATCTGCCGATTTAAAATGGCGAATAGTCAATGCTGTTATACTATCTAACCTTGACTACAGTTTCAGCAACATCAACAGATTTAATCCTATATCACCACATTACAATAATTTGGGTGAAATTTGATTGTAAAGATGAATTGCAATACAGTACGATGTATAAACTGATTAAATATAAAAAAAATCATCATACATATACATACATAACAATTTAATACGAACGCTTAAAATTCGAATACCAAGATCCATCTTTCGTCGCACGTTAATAACCGATTAAGAAATGGATCATTTACGTAGCATGGAATGTTTGCTGAACACATGGTAAGTCGACTTAATTTGTTATCATTTTTCAGTTAATGTGCTCAACTTCCAGGTCTTTCCTAGCTGACGGAGATGCAAACGAATAGTTTCAGGACTCAGTCTGAACATTTCTGCAAGTTCTTGGCGCGTTGTCCTGAAATTTGCGTCCACAACCTGTCGAAGATCCTCGTTATTCATGATTCTTGGTCTCCCTGAGCGCGGTTCATGACTCAAACTGAGATCTCGCGAAGAAAATTTTTTGAACCACGTCTGTGTTGTTCCATCACTAAAGGCATCATCTCCGAATGCAGTATTTTTTACCCACCGCTGCAGCTTTTGTACCAAGTTTGTGCGAATTACTGTTTTATTCGTCGACATTTTCAATTATTAAAACTAGGTACGTAACAATCTTCAGCAACTTTTTATGTGTGTGGGAAAACAAGGATTCATACTAAGGTGACAACAGGTAACAAACAATTGCTAACGATCAGCAAAATCCATGGCAATGTGCGATATACAGCAACCGCACGAACTTATTTGGTTACCTGAGATTCACAAGCATGGGTACCGTCCATATCACCTATGCTTGCATCAAGGCCTTCGTCCTCAGAATTTCGCAGATCGAGTGGAGTTTAGTAGAGTAATGCTAAATAAAGTGAGTGAAGACATTGATTTCCTGGATAAGGTTCTGTTTAGCGATGAGGCAACTTTTAACAGCATAGGTGTTGTCAGCAGGCATAACATGCACTATTATGCGACGAAAAACCCTTACTGGGAGCTTGAATGTTTGGGAGGAGTTATTGGCAGACAATTATTATTATTAATAATTATATCGGGCCCTTCTTTTTCGACAACAGATTAACAGGTACAGAATACTTGAATCTTTTGGTCGAGCATTTGCCTTTGCGTTTAGAGGATGTCAACCCGCAAACTCGAATGTATATGTTCTTCCAGCACGCCTGCGCACCTGCGCATTATCATAGCTATTTGAACACCTGGAGTAACAATCGTTGGATCGGTCGAGATGGGCCTATATATTGGCCTCCTAGATCACCAGATATTACAACGATGGTCTTCTTTCTATGGGGCTACGTTAAGCAAGAGCTTTATGGATATCCACCATCTACCCCGGAAAATATGTAGGAAAGGATTAAGAATAGTTTTCTGAACATAAGGGAACACATGCTGAGGGATATGCAATGGTCATTTATGCAAAGACTATGGCTGTGTATCATGGTGTAGATGTTTTCGAGCAGTTTTTATCGATTAGGTCTTGAGTGTATATGTATAACATGCCATTAATAGTTTATTCCAAAATGTATTTGTTTACGGGTAATATTCCGTCCACACATGGATGGGCCACCCTGTATATATAAAAATGAATCTCTATTTCCCGTGATCACACCATAACTTGAAAACGACTTTATCGATTTAATTCATTTTTTTAAGTTTCCATATATTGTTCAGAAGGTTCTTATGGAAAGAAAAATCAAGAAGATTGTGCCGAACGTATAGCAGAAGAAATATCTCATGTACCAAAAGGACAGGCAATCCTCTCCGCCATCTTTATTCCAACAGCTATCGACGGTTAGCTATGTGAAAACACGGTGCTTTCGTTTTTGGACATTCATTTCTTTACCACCCATATTTTGTGATGGCCGTTCAGAAGAAACTGCAGTGTTGCCTAATTGTTATCTTTGACAGTTAACTCTACGAATAAAAATAGCGGATGAAAATACGTTTCTTTTGCTTAATTGACTTTCTCTACTCTTACCATTTTGAACTTGACAGCTCGCACGTCGCAAATTTATATTCTCGTTTAAGATAAATAAACATCGATGAAAAAATATTTTTTTATTTAGTTAGTAGTGCACAGTTCATTCCAGTTTGTTCAGTGTGTTTTTCGAGAAGTATTTGCTCAAAAATAACATGGATGGAAGTTAGTTCACCGCAGTCACGCCTTATATTAAAATTGTGATTCTTCAAAATGTCGTGTGTGCGTGTGTGTGTGTGTGCGCGTAGGTGTGCGTATGTATTGCATTAGTTGTAGGAAATTCCACATAATATTTACCAGGGTTGTGGGGACATTATGTACTCTGGGGACATACACGTGTCCTCACAGTGTTTCAGCCAGAAAACTGCGAAGTTTAATGAATTATTCTACTCAAATTTCAAAAGTATATCTACTTCGCGGGCTCCTAGGTGACGTTGTGTTTTGGCTCCAGAATCGTGTTCAATTATGGATATAAGCAATGACGATTACTGTCCCCACAGCGCCGGTAAAATTCATGTGTGCGATACACCAGACTGTTGCAATACCTGTGAGAACAAAAAATTATCATGTAAGCTAGCGCCCTCTGCAGTGAATTATTATTCAAGGTTCTGAAAGTTGGTTATCGAAGGCACAGCATAATCACATTTCTGCTTTGAGCTATGAGGACAAATACGGGGAATGTGAATACTGATGTGATTTTAATGGCAAAAAATATCAAACTATAGAACAGTCATATTGTTGCTCATTGCAAGTAGGTACGGAATGTCAACATAAAATTGGAAGATGGAAATGTCAAGATGACAGCTGGGCGGCCATTTAAAAAATCACAACTTTGATATGTAGGTCAAAATTGGGACACCCTGTATAATTGCCAATATTTTAGAAATGTGCCCTCAAATGAGTAATATTCCGTCCACACCTAACTATATTAGGCTGATGGCAATTGTCCATTAATTTATAGCAATTTATCTATTTTTCTCTATTTACGTTTACAAAAGGGTTGAAAAATGTTCATATTCATACTATTATTACTCATAAAATAAGCACATTATAATACATCAATTGTGACAATAATATTTTGAGAAAATTATATGAGGTACCTAGTAGACATTTGTTGGGCAACGATAATGACCAGAAAAGTTGTTTGTGGAAAGCTCCTTGACAGACCTAAATACCTCCTTGCAATTTCGGCAGCTCTGCCAAAGGTGAGTATTCTCTTCGAAAAACCGCTTAATCGTTATCGCGTCAGATAACATCTCAACCTCGCCAACAGATGTCGAATCGCCAGAAGCAAAATCGATTTCGTATCGATGTACGTTGTTGTGCTTATGTAATTATTTTGGAACATCCACCTCCGAAATTAGGAGATTCCATCGGCTTTTTCGGGACAACCTTTTTTCGCTATAATTAAAATCCATAAATTACTGATACTATCTGCGATGCATATATAATCAACACAGGAATTTTCGTCGACATTACGCTATTAACATGTTGTGTTGCTGCAACGAGATTTTGAATTGGAGCTTGAGTCTCAGAGTGAATCAATGTCCATGTTTACACCGTAGGTAGTCAAATGCTTAGGCGGTACCACAGCTCTGAGAGTAAATGCTTTTTTGTGGCCGCTTACAGCATGTGCTAAGCGTCGTATAGGCGCCATGTAGGCTACTCAGGGTATTCTGTATAGGCGGAAGGGTAAGATCACATTACTCATGCCTCAATGGGCTCCTGCAGGGGCTACTCAGGAGATTTGGTCGTCAGCCATCCGGGAAAGCGTGCTACGACCCAGTTTCATGCTATAGTCATATTTCCTTAGTTTACAGCATTGATTCCCAAGGTGGTCTATATCGACCCATAGGGATCTATGACAACCTGCAAGGGGTCTACGAAAAATTTGGGGGACCATGAAATGAATATGGGGGTCCACGATAGTGGATCTCAACACATACACTGATAGTACCTATTTACTTACATCATACTATCTTATAATATCGAAACATATACATTATTTATAAAGTACCTATGAAGTAAAAAATTTATTATATATGTTTGTAAAATTGTGTAAGTTGTAGGATGTTGCTATTCGCTTTGTGGTCGCAATACATTTTGAACTTGTAAAAACCTGAGAGCCGCAGTCTCAGAGCTTCGCTACCTTGCACTGACGTGTTCAATTCGTCACTCTATAAATACGAATGTGGGACAAATACGCTTATTCGTTTCCTGAATCTTGAAAAGGAAAGTGCTAAGAAAATATTTTAAAAAATATAAACAGATAGTATATCACACAAATTATAGTGAGTCAGTGTTATTTTGTTTGAGAGTGCTGGAGAAACGTAAGTACATTATTTTTTATTAAATTTTAGTTTTGTACTCGTAGTTAGCAAAGATAGATAAATTAGGCCAATCATGACTTTTGTTATTAGTAATTAAATATTCAATCATGCAAAATTACACGAGTACTCCTCAATAGTTTCTTTTTGAATGTTTTAGCAATCGGTAATATAATTACAGTGCAATCTCTCTCTCACATTCAACATCTAAATGCCCTCTATTCAGATTTTGAATCTAGGTTTGAGGATATTTTGACTATGGTAATACCACCGTGGATAATTAATCCATATGGTGACATAGAAGAAACGAATGTCATAATACAAGAGGAACTGACTGAACTAAGTACAAACGAAGAACTTAAGGTTCAGTTTAAAAACGGATATTAGCAATTCTGGCTACAAAACAACGTACCCGTTACTTATCCCGTAATATGGAATATAGCGAGGAAATTTTTTATTTCCTTTCCATCGTCATACCTAGTGGAAAGGGGGTTTAGCGCTGTTACCAATCTCCTAACGAAAAAAAAAGAAACAGACTGGACATCATTAGCCGAGGAGATTTAAGATTAACCCTTACAAAATTGACGCCAAATGTTGATAATTAATTATTAAAGCATCAGGTTCATCCTTCTCACTAAAAATATTGACTTATTGCTTATGTTATTTTGTTTATTATTTTATTTATTTTATGTTTATTGGTGTCTGACCAATAAATGCCCGCATTGGGAATAAGTTCCCGCATTGATTTTTTTAAAAAACCCCCCTTTATAGAAAATATTTTTTTTTATTATTCTGAAAGTTCAAGGATAGGTACACACTAAAATTCGTTAATTATTTCCCTATTTTTAGATAACTTAAACGTATAAGAAGCGGAATTTAATCAAACTAACAGTTAAATTATTGTAGAACACACGTTTGTGTTATAATTAATAAACGTACTCGCTTATTGTACTATATATTTTAAGTGAAAAACTTTTTTTTTATTATTTTTCACTTTTTTTTATCTTATCCCTCTTATTTTTTTTTTCAATGCGGGCACTTATTCCCAATGCGGGCACTTATTGGTCAGACACCTGTTTATTTAATGTTACGTATATTTTACATAACAGATACAAAATTT